ACAGAGTTTATTAAGTAACATAAAAACTATCAATGGACATATTCTTGCAAAACAAAAGCAAGGAGACATTTGAATTTTGCCAATCTCACTGCCATACCCTCAGGCCATCTCTGTCTTCATTTGATCCAAGTCAGCTTTATCCAAGGCAATAGCCCAAACTTAGATAGCCTACAGGTGTTAGGAATGATGTGATTTCATAGCAAAGTAAACAATGGAAGGCTGGCATGCCTAGCTGACAATACCAATCTGAGGTAACTCAGTTCCTGGGCTTACAGAAACATAACAGTCACATTTATGTCAGGGAAAAGGCACACTGCTCTTACTGGCTCCACCTTCTTGTAGATATACCCCAGTATTAGGTGCTTGTTGCGGTGTAAGAGTGTTCAGGGAAGACTCGCACCTCTGGTGTGAGGGCTGCCATGCCCTTTTCAGGGATGCTTTCTGTCTTTGGTATCCACCTGCCACCCAACTCTCACCTGTAGCTGCAAGAAGCTGTAGCATGTACAGTGGCCACACTCCAGTAAGCTGTTTCTGCAGATAGGGCATAAACCCATCAGTAAGTCTGGGGGATGTCTACTCCTAACATGTGAAGACTTCCCCCAGTGGAATGGGCAGATGAGAACAGTTTGCTCCATTGGACCATGAAGGCTAAGGAGGTAGGAGCTGTGGAGGGCTTAGAGCTTTGTTAGACATTGAAGATGTCAAGGTCATCTACTGCATCCTAAGCCATAACTGGTTTTCTTAACTTTTGTCTAGCCACTGGACTTTCAATGATTTTGGAAAAGAGAGTGAGAATGATGATTGCAAAGGGCGCTGCCTCACTTAAAATCCAGTCAATGTGCAAATCAAAAGATATCACTCGAGGGCAGCTAGGTGGCGCAGTACATAGAGCACCGGCCCTGAGGTCAGGAGGACCTGAGTTCAAATCCGGCCTCAGACCAAACACTTGACACTTACTAGCTGTGTGACCCTGGGCAAGTCACTTAACCCCAATTGCCCAAAAACAAATCACTTAACCCCAATTGCCTAAAAAAAAAAAAGATTTCACTCATACCATTTTACCATTTTTATCTACATCAAAGTCCTGTGGCATCAGGCAAGTAAAGAAGCAGCAGGCATGACTACACTGGGAGCTTGTCACAACCTTGTACACAGACAGGCATCCTAGGCCATAGGGTCATCTCACCAGACTGAAACAGCAATGGGATTTGATAGCCCCCTGGGTGTCTAAGCAGCCTTTTTTTTTTTTTAAGGATGGCACTGCCCATCTCCTGGTGTGCAAAAGGGGCTAGAAAAGGTGCCCTAAAATTATCTGCTTCACCCAACCTAATCCTGGTCTGCTTACCACAGCAGTTGGGGATCCTACCCTGCAGTCAAAATACAAAAAAAACAAAGTACAAAAACTTTGGCAAAGATGATTCCCCTCACCATTGGTACATGGCGTGTGCACACACTGATGACAAAATCCAGTAGACCTGAAAGACAAATAGCTCTTGTTGGGACAGAACCCAGCAGGTGCCACATCCAAAGGTGGAGTCAGCCCTGAGTGAAACAAGACTGGCCAATGAAGACCAGCTTACTGAAGTTGGAGCTGGATACATGTTTTTCTGGAGTGGTCACAGTGTGGTGAAGCCAAGCAGAGGTTTCACAATCAAAACCAATCTAGTCAACAAGCTTGAATGCCTCCCAAGAGGAGTGAACAAAAGGCTTATGACAATGGAATTGCTACTTGCCAGAAAACGCCATGCCACCGTGATCAGTGTATATGCTCCCACCATGATGAACTCTGATGATGCCAAGATAAATATCATGATGACCTGGAGACCTTCATCATCAGTGTGCCAAAAGAGGACAAGACTGTAATTCTGGGTGATTTTAACTCCAGAGCAGACACAGACTATCAGACATGGCAAGGAGTCATTGGGAGAAATGGAATCGGAAACAGCAACTGTCACTTACAACTGAAGGCTTGTGCGTCTTATGACCTTCTCATCACCAACTGTCTTCTCTTTACTTAAATGCAATAAGATCTCATGGATGCACCTTCACAACAAACATTGACATTTAACAGACTATGTCACTGTAAGGAGAAGACGGGACATGAGAGTGACAAAGGCAATGTGTGGTGCAGAGTGCTGGACCGATCATATACTTTTCCTTTCTGACCTAAACATCCACATTCAACAAAAGCAGTGGCCCCAAGGCAAGATGACTACCAGAAGACTTAATGTCTATAGATTAGAGCGCTTCTCCACTATGACCTGTTTGCTGCTAACTTGGAGGGAAACCTGAGCCAACACACTGTCGGCAACAGTGGAGCAGAAAAGGAGTGGGCAGTTTTCAGAGATTTGTGTAAAGCACTGCATTCACTCATCTTAGCCAGAACACTAACAAACATCACAAAGGTCTGAAAAAAATGATAGGGAAATTCAGCAGCTGCTAAACAAAAAATGAGAACTCCACAGGGTTTACCCACAGGATAGTCTGAGCATCTCTAAGAGGCAGCATTTAACTCCATCAAAAGCTGTGGTTGTGGTTGTTCCTTCATTCTCGAAGAGGACCATGACATCAGGAAGACGATGCCAAGACTTGCGATTTAATTGGATTTGAGTGAGGGAGGGCTATGCAAAGTTACTGCCTCACTTTCTCCTCCAGAGCCATCTGGGTCCAATGGCCAGATATAGATCAGGACAACTAGAGATGGCCCAGGATGCAGTGAAAGACCTTGGCCTTTTTAAGCTAAGGTCTTCCTGAGTTCTAACTTAGACAGAGGCAACACCCATTCAACGATTAGGCCTATTTAAGAAGTGAGTCAAAGGATAGCCCCTTTAATCAAAAATTAAAAAAAAAAATCAAACTGGGAGGGGAAGACCCTGAGTGTCTCTGGCCAAAAGAGAAACATTTGCTATTTGCATTTACTCTGAGCTATAAGAGCCCAACAAATAACCATTAAGTGGTACTTGGGCAAGGACCCATTGATGACCAATCAATGAGAGCCAGAATGAACCACTTTATTCATATATCATATCTTCTATGTGCTACATGAGAAAACAGCAATAGTACCATAGAAGATGAAAACTGGACAACCTCTTGGACCACACTAAGTGCATCAAGAAGAAATCTGGGATGCAAGATGAAGGATGAGTGGCACCTACCCAGCTGAACTCTCCCAATATTCCCCCTCCAAACAACTTTAAAATAATGCCTCAAATTAAACTTTGGAGTGGCAGAGCCAACAAAAGTTTGGAGTGAGACATTTTTTCAGCCTGGAAGTTTGAAATAGCAATTCAAATACTTGAAATAATTTCTCAGTTCTCTTGGTCTCTTCATTGTGGTGACAACTTTATAGAAATTACACTTCTTTATATGCATTATACTTGTATGTTGTTGTTTTTCAGTCATTTTTAGTTATGTCTGACTCTTTGTGATCTCATTTGGGGTTTTCTTGGCAAAGATTCTGGAATGATTTGTCATTTCCTTCTGCAGCTCATTTTGCAAATGAGGAAACTGAGGCAAATAGAGTTAAGTGACTTGTCCAGGGTCACACAACTAATAAGTGTCTTAGGGCCAGATTTGATGTGTCTGAATCCAGGCCAGCACTCTATCTACTGCACCACCTAGCTTCCCCCATCATACTTCTATAGAAAGCTATAATAAAACATAATGGTGTCTTTTCCTTTATCCCTTTCCCATTTTTGGCATTAATAATTCATTTGAATAGTTCATATTGGAGCTGTTGCATTTGTATATGCTACTTTCTTTTTGGTGTCAACAAATATTCAGATATATATTGATCCACTTTAGAGGATCTTGTCTAGTTCTTCATAGAATTTTTCTACTTCTCATTCTTTGCAACAGAGTTTGATGCCTAATCTGCAATTATCTTCACATCTCTTTTCTTTTAGGCTTACTGTGAGTCCTAAAAGGAGAGTTGACCAATGTCCTGTGATGTTTCTTGTTGACTTTGGGCACAGGTTGAAGCCTATTCTGCTAACTTCATTTGCCTCTCCAAGAAACAAGTGCCACCCTTCCCATTAGCTGCAACTTCCATTTATAGCAATAACATCATTATCGATATGGTTCATTTCCACCTCATTGATGTTGGCCAACGACCTTACTTTCAGGTCATCAGCCATTAAATTAATTTTATATTTGCCCCTTTTCCACTACTCAGTCACCATCACAGTGGAAGCAGAAAAGGACTCATGACAAAGGTGGGGGCCATTTCACATTTTTATTTATTTCAAAGAATTCATGACCTAATTGCCAGTCTATTTGTGATGAACCTCCCAGGGTTGTCTTTGAACAACAGATAGTCTATCTCTGAATCAGTGTTTGTTAATCTAGTATCTATTGACAGCGTCTCTTGTATCTGGCTGTGGTAGAATGACCTTTTCTATCTCTGCTGCCCCTGGGCCTTCAGTGTCCTAGTCTGATTGCTTGCTATAGCATTGTTTTGCTTGCTTTCTGCTGTGGTTCCTGAGGCTTCCAAGGTCCCTACCCTGGGACTTTCTCAGGGGCCCTTGCCCTCCTGCCCTGTTGCTGACTCCAGAGACAGAGCCTTGTAGGCTACACATATCCCAGACCATCTTTGGTTGCCCTTCAAGGTTACCATGCTCTGACACTAACTTTGCTTCTGGGCCCTCTTTTCTGTTGTCCACGGTACAGTACTGGGGCATAAAAAGTCACTTAACTGTAGTTTCTATTGGTCTAGTGGAACTTAAGGGTTTTGCAGGAGCAGCTATATGCGGGCTGGGCCTTCATCCTCCTGTTCAGACAGCCTTCTCAGCCCAAAGTTTGTAAAGACTTAAGGTCAGTGGAACTGATGATAGACTTTTACTCAAAAAGAAAGTGGTAAAATGAGTCCCAATTCCAGCATTTGTCTTCACCATGCATTTGTAAATTTGTAAACTACATACGACTTTAAAATTTTTTATTCTCTTGAATTTATTATTAGCAATTAGATTATTCACATCTGCTCTTGCTGTTTCTTTTCTTAGCTTGGTTAGTCTATCGGTCCTAAGAATCTCATCAGACAAATGAAGATTGTACACAAGATGTCATTTATACTTGTGCAGCTCCTTTATAGGTAAATGCATGTAGTGCCCAGGGATTTATGATGAATGTCTTTTTATTTGAAGGTGGCACTTGATGTGATACATGTTTTAAATAGTTGAGTTCTTGCCTTCATGCCCAGAAGTAACACTTCACCCTATATAACACATTTGGGGAATTTAGGGAACATTATCAATTGCTGTAACAATGCTTCCATAGTAAATCCTTGATGTTTTATATACAAAAAATGGTTTTCCTAAAAAATGTTTCCATAGCCAAAGTCTTAGCTTTTGGCTGTTACCTATTTTGTGAATCATATTTTCACTGAAAAATGAATTTTTTTCTAAGAAACAAACCAAAAACAAAAATCCCACCACTAAAAACTCCTGAATGGAAAAATTTCTATTTTAAAATGCTGATTTTTAACAAAGGTTTAAAATATTTTTCTAAGGCCTACTAATTATACTTACATTGGATTCCTTTTCAACATCTTTTTTATTGATAACTTGGCTGAAAACATTCATAACAACAGTATTAATAACAATAATAATAGCTGCCAATTTGTGTGGCACTTTTAAGAATTACCAATAATTTTATATCATCTCATTTAACAATGAGATCGTGGATGGCATGCTTCTCAAATTCAAAGAACACAGGAAGTTAGTAAGAGAGGTATTATATTAGACAATAAAATCAACATTACAAATCATTGTAGCAGAACAGGTAGAAATCAACAAAATGAAAGTTAGAGATAAATTGAAGGTCAATATTTAGACTCAAAAGCTCAGTATAAAAAAGATGAGAACCATGTTATGTGGTCAGTTTTTAAAAAATTAAAGCAATTTTAGGCTGTTTATACAAATACAGTGTTTGGATGATGGTAAGTACTAATCTAATCATATTATTTTTTAAAACAATAATTTTCTTTTAAAACTAGTAATACTTAGTAAATACAACCAAAAAATATAGAGTAAAAGCCCAAGTCACAGAATTTCAAAATTGGAAAGAACCCAGGAGCCCATATAATGCAACCCACAACCTGAACAAAAAAATTATAACTTCCTAACAAATGGCCATTGACTCTTTGCTTGAAAGTCTCCTGTCAAGAGAGAGCTGATACTTGCCTCGTCAGCTCATTCCATTTTAGGAAAGCTCTGATTATTATGAAGTTTTTCCTGATATCACATCTAAATTTTCCTCTTTATACATTCCACCCTAGAGGCAGCTTGGCATAGCGTATAGAGAACTGGCCTCAAAGTTAGCAAAAACAGGTTCTAATCCTCCTTCAGACACACATTAGCTGTGTGACTCTGGGCATGTTGCTAAACCTCTCATTGCCCCCAGTCAAGTGTCTAAGAGCAGGTGTCAATCTGCTTCAGTGGAAGGGCTCCACCATCTTTCCAGTCCCTCAGGTCTGCAATCTCCATCATCCTTCATTCTTCCCTCTCCCTCTATCTGATCAGTTTCTATCTGAGAAGTTTCTATCTGATCAGTTGCTAGTTCTACCTTTCTGCCATCTTTCCCTTTCATTCTTCTTCCCTGGCTCTCCTAGTGTTTTGCCTAGACTACAGTCAGAGACTGAAATGGTCTCCCTGCCTCCTGTCTCTCCTCTGTCCAGTCTGCAGCCCATGCAAACATTCCTGAAACACAGAGGATCTCCAGCATCTCCCTGTCCCTTCAGGATAAAATACGAACTCTTCTGTTTGGCATTTCAAGTCTCTCATAATCTGACCCCAGCCTATCTTTCCACAATTTGTATCACTGTCCCTTATGCTCTCTACATTGCAGGCAAACCTATCCTGTTTGCTATTTTGTATATACAATGCCCATCTCCCACCTCTGTGCCTTTGGACAAGTGTCCTTCCTGGCTGCAATGCTCTTCCTCCTCACCTGCCTTGTAAAATTCCTCAGTTGATTCAGGGTTCAGATCACCTGCAAATTTCTACATGAGTCCCATCTGTGTCCCCCATGAGGGTGTCAGAGGCAAGAAGTGTTTTCACTTTTGTTTCTGTATACAACATCATCATCATCATCATCATCATGCCCCTCCCAGGATAAGCATTATCCAGAACCTCAGCATCGTGGAGATTGCTTCAGCTTTTCACTGTCACCTCCTCAGCCCCCTCCATTGCTCTTGTCCATCTGGCCAGCTGGAGAGCAGATCAAAGAGCTCCTTCCATCATTCCCCCTTACAAAGGGCTCCAAATCCCAGCACCTTTTCACTTGCCACCAGCTGCGTTGTTGGTTTCTACTCCAATATTATCATCATTTTTCCACACTGAGCCACGCCCTTTTTCAGTTTCTTTTGTGCATTTGTCTTCCACTATTAGAATGTAAGCTCACAAAGGGCAAGGACTGCCTCTTTTCTTATTTGTATCCCCAGTATTTAATATGCTTCCTGGAACACAATAGGTGCTTAAAAAATGTGAATTAATGTTAGTGTGTGTATGTATGTATATATATATATATAGTTAGTATATATAATGTTAGTATATCATTTGTATCCCCAGTGCTTAGCTTAGCACCTGACACATAGCAGGCACTTAATAAATCTTGTTGACTTATTGATCCCTGCTCTTCCCTTAGAAATTTTCTGTATTTACTTTATACATGTTTTATGATATTCTGTACAAGAGGTGTTACTACTCAGTGGACTGAGAGCTGACCTTGGAGCCAGGAAGACCTGGGTTTGAGTCCTGACTCTGCCCCATACTGGCCCTGTGACTCAAGGCAAGTCACTGAGGCTCAGTGCCCTGGGGCAGCTCTCTAAGTCTATAAGTTGAAAGGCAGGTGCCAGTCTGCACTGGTGGAAAGTTCTCTTATCAGAAGTTCCCTCTACTAGTAAAATCACAGGTCAGTTTCAAAAAAGAGAAAACATGTCTTCACATATATCATGTATGTTCATATTGTACCAATCTTTGTATGAGCGTGTCAATTTTTAATTGATTTATCTGTGTACATGTCAGTTCCCCCAGTACAGTATACACTTCTTAAAGGTAGTGGCCATCAAGGGACTGGCACATACAAATGTTCTCTGCTGAGCCACATCCAGATCTACTTATTTTACTCTTGTCTGGCCTACATCTCTCCATATTGCCTATAGATCTCAGAAGAACAGCATTAATGATTTTATCCAATGCAACAAGCATTTATTAAGCACCCACAGTGTACTATGTATTCTGCTAGGGGCTAGAGATGCAAAAACAAAATGAAAAACAGTCCTTGCTTTCATGGAACATATATTCTCCCGGGAGAATACGACAGTGCATGAGCTGAGCCTGGAAGGGAGTTGGCGATTCTGCAGAGCTCCACCTGTACCTTCAGCACAGCTTGGCTGCCACTGGCAGGCCTTTTCTCCATGGTCACTTGTTTCTCTGACACTAGAACAGGAGACTAAGGCCTCTACATTGGAAACTCTAGACCCAGTGACTGACCCCCTTACGGTCATATCTTGGGAAACTAAGGTCTGTGGTTGGTCTCAACTTGTCTGGTCTTAGGGCCCATTCCTGTAAGTCCTTAGACTGCACTAGGTGGTGAAGGGTGCCACATCACAAGGGCAGAACATGGCAACTAGTACTCAAGGAGTTGAGTGACCGTAACCTCTGACTGAGCAGCTCTTCGTACTCACTGCTGCATGGACTTGAAATCTGTCCACTTCCCTGATGGCTCAATATATTTTTCCCAGCTCTACATCTCTTTGGATGGTCATACGAGCCGTATCAACCAAGGCTGCCAAATCTCCGCACACAGGATGCCCTGCTCAATGATCCTGTTAAGTGCTTATTTAGGGTCCTATGAAATACTCCTCAGAGATACACTGTTCTTCTGGGGTCGGACCTGGCTTCTTAGAGCTCTCTCCTTACCATAGACCAATTATGTCTACAGTATGAGAACCACTTTAGGAAACACCAGCCAAGGAGCCTGGGCTGGCTTGGATTTTTGTAGGCTGGCTACAGGTGGCTTCAGAGGGGGAAAGAGTCTAGCATCTGGGTCAGGTATATTGGTAACAGCTGCTGCCTTCCTGTTCAACAATTCTCGATCCTTCCTGAACGTGCTAACATAAAGCTCTTCCCGTGAACTTGGAAGAAAGGCTGAGAGACACTTAACATCTTCCATATAAATATATGCTCTATGTGCCAGTGTATGCCTAGCATCAATGGGTGTCAACCTTTTCAAGTATAAGGTCCGCTTCTTAAAATCTAAATATTGTATAGACTTCCCCCATAACAGAAATTATATTGCTAGCATCCATTGACTGATGAAACATGAAATGACAAAAGATTCCTATGAATTCAATGACACTTTGAAATGTATTTCTGTTATTCATTACAACAGCATCTGCATCCACTTAACAAATAAAAACAAGTATTATTCACACTGTTTATTTTCTTGGAACTAAATATCAAGATGACAATCCTTGGTGGGTCTGTGGATCCATGAGCCCTGCCCAAACATGCCACAGCCATACCACCAGAGCCCTTGGCCCACAGGGTGGAAGCCACCGACCTCAGTCATCATTTCTCTAGTCAGTTCCATTAAACATACATGTATTAAGCACCTTCTGTGTGCCAGGGCCTCTACTAGGTGCTAGGGATAAAAAGGCAAAAGCAAAACAATTCCTGTCCTGGTCACTCCAATCCATTAATCAGAGTCATTTGGTAATTCATCTTATTAGAAAAATAATTTGGCATCATTTTTACTCCAGAGGGAAACTTTTTTTGTGTAATAACTTTTTTTAATGTACATCACCATGATTAAGAATATGATAGTTTCACATCCATAACCTCTATAGTAGGCAGTTAGACACTTATGAAGTCATAACCAGGCAAAAACATTTGTAGAAGTCAAAGTTTGCATAAATTTAACCACAGCTAACCCAGGAAGGAACCTCTTCTATCTGCTTAGTTAAGTAATCATTGACCTATTTATTAGGAACAATACTGATTCTCTTTTATTAAATTTGCATTACAGTAATTAATGGGGAAAAATCATATATTTCCTCCCTATTTTTGAATCTTTAAAATACAGGAGGCTTTGGCTTGAGCTTTTTGGTTTGACATTAAACACGTGGATGACCAGAATGCTACTTTTGTTCTCTGCCCTGGGAACTAAAAGCAAAATGGGATCGGATGGTCCAATTACTCCAAAGCATTGGACTGACACCCATATGCCCCGAAAGAGGGATACCTCATCATTGCTGATGTTTCAGTGCTAAGTTAGTAAAGGTTTTGTAAATTTTGGGGGCACATAAACATCAATGTGGAATGATGTTTTTATTGGGTGGTTCCATCTATATTCTAACTATGGAAAAGAGCAATCTTCCTATGAAATTGGTTAAGATTTGTCTACTCAGAAAATGCACGTAATATCAATTCCATCTTATAGTAATTGTTACAAGTAGTTCTAGTAAATATGAATGTAATTCTGTAATGATTATTGAGCTAGCAGATATGTCATAATAAGTTTCTTTATAGAAAAGAGGAAAAAACTGAAATGTCCTGAGCTTAAGTTCTAAATCAGTGCTCTAAAAAGTAAACTATGTCTGGGACTCTATAAGAAGAGCTGACTGATAGGCAGCTAGGTTGCACAGTGGATAGAGCTCTGGCCTTGGAGTCAGGAAGATCTGAGTTCAAATCCGGCCTCAGACACTTGACACTTACTAGCTGTGTGACCCTAGGCAAGTCACTTAACCCCAATTGCCTCACCAAAAAGAAAAAAAAAAAGCTGACTGGTCATGAGATCAGACTGTAACGAGCCAAATAATGTCGTTCTTGACACTAAGGGAATAGCAAACATGATGTGTTCAATTCTGAGCTATGCTCTTCCATGAAGATGATCTGTAGTGAACCAGGTGGGCTGGATTTTCCAACTGAATTCAGTTTGTCCTCTTCACATAGCCCATCTTACTCTTATCAAGCTTAGGAGAAGCAAAAAATCAGAGTTGACTTGAAGTGAATGTGCTAATCTTCAGAACATGAGAGCTTTAAAACAGAACAAATTTCATGCAGAGGACTGAGAAATCTGCCAAGTAGAAGGCCATCTGTAATAGGCACCTTCACTTCTTTTCTCTCACTCTATACTTAACTCTCCAGTCTGGCTTCTGACCTCATCATTCAATTAAAACTGCTCTTGCCAAAGTTACTAACGATCTCCTAATTGCCAAATCCAATATTCTCAATGCTCCTTCTTCTCCACATCTCTGCAGCTTCGATACTGCTGATCACTTTCTTCTCCTTGATTCCCTCTTCTCTCCAGATTTCCCTGCTCTCTCCTGGTTCTCGTCCTACCTTTCTGACAGTTCTTCAGTCTCTTTTGTTGGGTTCTTCATCCAGGTTACACCCACAGGTGTCCCACAAGACTCTCTCCTGGACCCTCTTCTCCCTAGATACTGCTAGGTGATCTCCCTGACACAAGTCTTTCCAACTCCAGGCCATCCTCCTCCACTCAACTATCATAGTGATCTTCCTATAAAGCACATCATCCAGTGACATCGGTCTCCTTGCTGTTCTGCACATAAGAAACTAATCGATTTTCACTGGCTGTCTGTCCCCCTGCCTGGAATGTTCTCTCCTCTTCTCCACTTCCTGACTTCCCTGGCTTCCTTCATGCCCCAGTAAAAGTCCCTCCTTCTACAGGAACCCCTTCCTGATCCCTCTTAAAATCCCTCTTATCTCCAATTTACCCTATATAACTTGTTCATAATAATTGTCTCCCCTATTAGTCTGTGAGCTTCTTAAGAGCAAGGAATGTTGTTTTTTTAACCTTTCTTTGTATCCTCAGTACTTAGCATAGTACCTGCCACACAGTAAGTGCTTAATAAATGTTTGTTCACTGAATGGCTGATTGAAGTATCCCAATGACAGATACCTAACAATTTTGGTCTCTGTAATTTATATATCATTTCTAAATTGTTCATATGATTTACAAATGGGTAATAAGTTTGAAATTGGTTAATTTCCTCTAGGGTCATACTTAAATTTCAAATGTCATATGTTAATATATAATCCCTAATGAAACACTGACACAAATTTAAATTAGAGGTTAACTTCTCTACCTAAAAAGTATTTTAATGAATATGGAGAACATTTTCATGAATATTTTGTGAAAAATAAGTCATTTTATGTTATTGATGAAAGTAAACTAATGATTGTAAGGCACTCAAAAACATCTGAGTATAAGAATTTATAGAAATTGAAGGTTACAAGAAGAAGGAGCTAAGGGTATCACTCAAACTGAACACCAGGGAAACATCTGGGTCCAGCCTGAGACTATGAAAAAGACCTTGAGGAACTGAGATGTCTGGGAATACTAGGGATGAGAGAGAGTCAAGACAATATGGGGCTGTAGAAGAGAAGATCTGACTAAACAATCTAAGAAAACAAAGATTGTTAATGAATAGAATATTTGGTGATATAATTATTTCAAACGGATGAAATATGAGGTGAAAATTTTTCCTATATGAAGAGGCATTTCCTTTGCAGTGACCAAAGAGTCTTACATACTGAGGTTCATTCTTAGGACAGGCAAGCCACACCTCTCCCTCCCCAGAGCTTCCACCAGAATGTTAGAGATTCTCATCTAGCAATTGTGACTGGTCTATATACACAGTCAATTTGACCAGCTGATAGAGCACACTAATTTGTAACTACACTTAAACTGAAGGCCAACAGGCACACTATTAGAGCATCAACAAAGTGATTCACTTAAAAAATGTATCTGTAACTTCCAGATAAAGGATGGCCTACATAGGGCCCATTGAATGGTTTGGTTCCTCTATTCCTATGGTAGTGGGTTCTAGTCTCCAGGTCTTGGTCTCCAATGAGAGAATCTCAAACTACATTCAGTTACATGGAGAAAAAAAGAAAATGGCTATTAATAATAATCAAATACTAAAGAATAATTTGCATTAGATATACTAACTCTTTTTCCCCCTCATGTTAGATATAGACCTCTCTGAAATGACGGAAAATGAATATTATGACTATAAATTTGTGAAGTGGATGATTAAAAATAAGGTAATAGGTTATTATCAACTCTAATATATTATTTTAGAAACGTACAGAAGGGAATCTTTGTGTTGCTACTAAAGCATTATAAAAATGTTACCTGGAGTTTCATTATTATACCATCATAGCTGGTTGCTAAGATGATGCTTTTTAAAAATCTACCTCTTGAAAATTATAATGACTAGGGTGAAGTAAAAGCAGGGACTTACCTGAGCTCTCTAAAATTCCTCTCCGAACAACTCCGAAATAATACCTCAAAATGAATTCTGGAGCAGCAGAACCAAAAAAGGACAGGATAGACAATTTTCCACCTCAATATGACTTAGAAGATCAGCAGGAAATATCTGTCTCACTGAGGTTAGAGCAGAGCACAGTCCAGTAGGAATCACAACCAGCAAGTCACTAGCAGGCCTTGAGGGTGACTGAATCAGCAGGTTCTAGAGCTCTTAGCTCACAGATGTACAATCTGTGGCCTGGACAATCCATCAAAAAAAGTTTACACGGGATCCTTTGCTGGCACTGGGTGCAGGACTCTGTCACAGTGCCAGGGCAAGGAGGAGCACTAGCACATTAGAGCATGTGGTCAAAAGGGGGTAGGGACCCTAGTCAAAGTTCCAGGGCGGAAAAGAGTGCTTGTGGTTGCTGAAAGACCACAGCATAGGTCAGGAGAGGAGTAAATACACCTATCCTTAGTTAGATCATACCACCTTAGAAGAACTGAAGACTGACACACACCCCAGAACTAGTTCTGAAAATAGCAGCATGAAAAATCTGAAAGTTGAGACAGTGCTCTTTCCACCCCAGGAGCAGAGCCCAACTTGAACATAAAATTAAAAGTCAAGAAGTAGGCTGAAAAATGGGCAAACAACAACAACAAAAAAGAACCTGACCATAGAAAGTTACTATTATGATGGGGAGATCAAAACACAAACTCAGAAGAAGATGACAAAGTCAAAACTTCTACATCCAAAGCCTCAAAGAAAAATGTGAATTGATCTCAGACCCAAAAAAGAATTCTTGGAAAAGCTCAAAAAGGATTTTTTAAAAATATGACAGGTAGAGGGAAAATGGGGAAAAAAATGGAGTGATACAATAAAATAATGAAAAACAGGCAACAACTTGGCAAAGAAAGCATACAAAAAAAATACTCAAAAAAAACCCCAACACATAAAAAAGAATAGGCCAGATGGTAAAAGATGCACAAAAATCCACTGAAGAGAAGTTCTTAAAAAGAAGAAATTGGCCAAAGGATAAAAGATGCACAAAAATTCACTGAAGAGAAGAACTCCTTAAAAAAGCAGAAGTAGACAAATGGAAAAGGAGATACAAAAGCTCATTGGAGAAAGTAATTCCTTAAAAATTAGAACTGGGGGATTAAAAGCTAATGACTCCCCATAAGACATCAAAAAAACCCCAATAAAACAAAATCAAAAGAATGAAAAAATAGAAGAAAATGTGAAATATCTCATTGGAAAAACAACTGACCTGGAAAATAGACTCAGGAGAGATAATTTAAGAATTTTGGATAACCTGAAAAAAAAAAGATCCTAGACATCATCTTTAAAAAAATTATCAAGGAATGGTCAAAGGATATGAACAGACAGTTCTCAGATGAAGAAATTAAAGCCATCTATAGTCATATGAAAAAATGCTCTAAATCATTATTGATTAGAGAAATGCAAATCAAAACAACTCTGAGGTACCACATCACATCTATCAGATTGGCCAACGTGACAAAACAGGAAAATGATAAATGTTGGAGAGGATGTGGGAAAATTGGAACACTAATACATTGTTGGTGGAGTTGTGAAATGATCCAACCATTTTGGAGAACAATTTGGAACTATGCCCAAAGGGCTACAAAAATGTGCATACCCTTTGATCCAGCAATAGCACTTCTAGGGCTATATCCCAAAGAGATCAAACAAATGGGAAAAGGACCCACATGTACAAAAATATTCATAGCAGCTCTTTTTGTGGTGGCAAAGAATTGGAAATTGAGAGGATGCCCATCAACTGGGGAATGGCTAAGCAAGTTGTGGTATATGAATGTAATGGAATACTATTGTGCTATAAGAAATGATGAACAGGCTGACTTCAGAAAAACCTGGAAAGACTTATATAGTCTGATGCTGAGTGAAGTGAGCAGAACCAAGAGGACTCTGTACACAATAACAGCCACATTATGCAATGGCTAAGATTGTTAAACTGAACCCTTCTCAGCATTACAAGGATCTAAGACATCTCCAGAGGCCTCAGAATGGAAAATGCTGTCCACATCCAAAGAAAGAACTATGGAAGTCAAATCGCTATCACTTATTTTTACCTTCTGTTGAGTTTTGTTTCATCTTTCTGATGGTTCCTACTATTGGTTTTAATTTTTACTTACAACTTCACTAATGTGAAAATATGTTTCATGGGTATGTAAATGTAAAGCCTATATCAGATTGTGTGCCATCTTGGGGAGGGTGGGGGGGGAGGAAGGGGGAGAAAAATTTTCAACTCAAAAGCATATGGAAATGATTGTTGATAAATCAAAATAAATTAATAAAATTTTAAAAAAATCATCAAGGAAAACTGTCCTGACATTCTGGAATCAGAAGGTAAAAAGTAAAAGAATCCAGTCACCTCCCAAAAGAGCATCTTAAATGAAAACTCACAGGAATATTATAGGCAAATTTTAGAGTTCCCAACTCAATGAGAAAATATTGCCAGCATCTAGAAAGAAACTGAACAAATATCATGGAGCCACAGTCAGGATCACACAAGAGTTGGCAGCTTCTACATTAAAGGAACTGAGGGCAAAGGAGCTAGAATTACAACCAAGAATCACCTACCCAGCAAAACTGAGTATAATCTATCAGGGGGAAATAGCTAGTTAATCAAATAGAGGACTTTCAAGCATTCCTGATGAAAAGACCAGAGATGAAAAGAAAATTTGACTTTCAAATACAAGACCCAAGAGAAATATAAAAAGGTAAACAGCAAAACAAATCATAAGAGATTCAATAAGGTTTAACTTTACATTTGTAAATGAGACAATAATAATACTTATAACTCTTAAGAACTTTACCATTATTAGGACAGTTAGAAGGAGTATACATATACAGAGGGCATAGGTTTGAATTGACCATGATGGGAAGATATCTAAAAAAAAAATAAAATTAAAGGGTAAGAAAGAGGAATACACTGGGTGAAGGGGAAGGGAAAGGTAGAACGGGATAAATTATCTTACATAACAGAGGTGCAAAAGAGCTTTTACCACAGAGGAGGAGACTGAGGGGTGGGAGTAGCAGACAACACTTGGACCTTACTCTCATTTGAATTGGCTCAAAGAGGGAATACATACTCAGCTGGGTATAGAAATCTATATTACCCTACAGGGAAGTAGGAGGGGAAAGGGATAAGAGAAGGCAAGAGGAGGCTAATAAAAGGGAGGGTGGATTAGAGGAGATGGTGGTCAGAAGCAAAACACTTTTGAAGGCAGACTGGGGAAAGGAGAGAGAGAGGGAGAAAGAGAGAGAGAGAGAGAGAGAGAGAGAGAGAGAGAGAGAGAGAGAGAGAGAGAGAGAGAGAGAGAGAGAGAGGGAGGGAGGGAGGAGGGATAAATGGAAGGATAAATAGGATAGAGGGAAATACAGTAATCATAACTGGGAAAAGTTTTACAGCAAGTTTCTCTGATAAAGTCCTCATTTCTCTGATATCAGCCCCTGTTGGAAGGATATATAAACTGGGCACCCGAACCCCAAAAGGAACTCAATTCCAATATTGCAGCTTCATGTATATGCATGCTGCCTGCTTTGAGAGAAATAAAATGATGGACACAACCTAATTGTGTTTGTCTTTCCTAGACCAAAATCTAAGAATGGTTGACAGTAATCACTAAATATTTTTTTGAATGAATGTGCCCCTTTGTTCTTTTTCTCTGTCCTTAGGGAAAAGTAGAGCAGATTGGGGTAGAATTGAGAGGTGCAGAAGTGAGTGAATTGGAGATCTAGGATTGTATGGCCAAAGGGAAGGAAATTTATGGCACCACACAGGTAAAACACCCAGGAGGCTGTAAGAAAAGATGCAGATGGGTGACCAAATGGGTCCTAGAAAGGCAATGAAAAGGAATGATTCATTCAATGAGCATTTATTAGGTATTGACTCAGTTGTACCAAACGCTGTTCTTAGGGTTAGGGATAAAACAGGTGTTCTAGAGTCAGCTCATTCCACTCGGGAGAGGCAATTGTTAAATTTTCAATGGGAGCATTTACTCCTTGGAAATCAGCAATGTTACAAAGCAGGACTTGATTGATTGTTTTGCTGATTGTCTGGAGTCAAGAAAGTGGTGGAGAAATTATTAAAAAGGCAGATAAATTTTTTTTAAAAAGTCATTTCTCAAATATGTAGAAAACTGAATCAAATTTATAAGAACACAAATTATTCCCCATTTGGGAAATGGTCAAAGGTTATCAACAGGCAGTTTTCAGAAGAAATCAAATCTATCTATAGTCATAGGAAAAAAATATTCTAGATCACTGTTGATTAGAGAAATGCAAATTCAAATAACTCTGAGGCACCACCTCAAACCTATCAGATTGGCTAATAGAAAAGGAAAATGACAAATGTTGGAGGAAATATGGGAAAATGGAGACATTAATGCACTATTGGTGGAGTTGTGAACTGATCCAACCATCCTAGAGAGCAATTTGGAACTATCCCAAAGGGCTACAAAATCACACATACGGTTTGATTCAGCAACACCACTCCTAGGTCTATATCCCAAAGAGATTTTTTTTAAAGGGAAAAGGACCTATTTGTACAAAAATATTTATAGCAACTCTTTTTGTGGTGGCACAGAAATGGAAATTGAGCGGATGCCCATCAATTGGGGAATGGCTGAGCAAATTGTGGTATATGATTGTGATGGAATACCATTGTGCTATAATAAACTATGAGCAGGATACTCTCAGAAAAACCTGGAAAGACTTACATGAACTAATGCAAAGTGAAATGAGTAGAACTAGGACAACATTGTACTAGTAACAACATTGTATGATGATCAATTGTGAATGACTTAGCTATTCTCAGCAATACAACTAATCCAAGACAATGCCAAAGAACTTAGGATAAAAAATGCTATCCACTTTCAGAGAAAGAACTGATGGAGTCTGTAGATCGAAGTATCCTTTTTTTTCACTTTATTTTTCCTGGAGTTTTTTTTTTGGGGGGGTGTATTTTCTCTCACAATATAACTAATATGGAAATGTTTTACATGATTGCACATATATAACCTAGATCAAATTGCCTTCTTCTCAATGGAGGGGAGGAAGAGGGAGAGAATTTGGAAATCAAAATTTTAAAAAACAAATGTTAAAATTGTTTTACATATAATTGGAAAAAATAAAGACAAAAAAAGAAAATTATTACGACTATCTAAAATCAATTTGTTTCTAATGTGAATAGTCACTAAAATAGTGTTAAATTTAAACCTATGGTAACATCTTAACTTATAGTTTATTATAAATTGTTATGTTTATTTTCTTTAGAAATTATCAGCCATTCCTATTACAGCATTCTGTAGTGCCAACAAAAAAGATTTTGAGAAACATGTACAGTTTCACTTCATTAAAGTAAGTTTATATTCTGCTCTAGTGAATCACAGAATTTCCTCTGATATGAGAGAGAGACAGACAGACAGACAGACAGAGAAAGAACATTTATTAGGCACCTTACTATGTGCCAGATGCTATGTTAAACTTTCAGAATACAAATACAAGCAAAAAGAAAGATAGTCCCAGCCCTTGTGGGCCTTAAAGAATGTAAGGAATTAGGAAAGACAGCCATAAAAGAAGAGCAGGGGACAAGGTCAAGAAGTAGTTTAGGGAATCATGAGTTGACTGTTTTTTAGATTGATGATGGCTGGTGTGAATGCTTTCTCCAGGAGAGGTGCAGCCTCATGTCCTTGAGGGATGTTCTGTTCTAGTGGTGCCTATAGCTCAAACACATCACACACATTACTAGCTTTAAGTTTGCTAATCCTACAAACCTGAAACACCATTTCTCCCTTCCACCTCAGAAGTCTTAATCTTCCTTTACAATTACTCCAAATCCTCTGTCCTCCATGAAGACTGACAGTTATTTGACGTTGATCAAGCCTCTTCTTTTCTAGCACTTAATGCATTGTCAGATATTTAATTAGGCTGTAAGTTCCTGAAACACAGGGAATGGTGTCCTGGATATTTTTTTAGCTGTCAGTCCCTCTACACATGTGGATAATAAATACTTGTTAAATAAGTAATATAACTTACAGATCTTTTAACAAGTATATTCTTCATTTAGAGCAAAACAGTACCCCGGATGCTTTTGAGAAGATCATTAAGGCCTGGATGAAGGAATCCTAATTTTTGCCAACATACCTTTGTGTGACTTTTGTAATTTAACAAAATGAAGTTGCTGCCACCTACTGGATATTGGAAAAGAAATCTTTTAGTACAAATAACATGATTTATTGAATGTCACAGGACACTGTCATATAATGTGGAGACTTTAAAGGAAAATTAGTAGAAACATGCAAAAAAAAAGTTGACTGTTGGCTGCAAGAAGGACATAGAAAGAAGTGAAAATAGCTGCATTTCAGAATTCCAGACAAATCCTGGAACAGAACTAACAAACGGAGCTTGATAAGTTATTCCCACACTTCTTCATACTCTGTGTTTACTTTATATTACTGCACACTTCTTCCCCAAAGTGTCCTATTTAACATATTTTGGACACTTCATAATAAAGCTACGAGAATTATGTGTGCTATTCATGCTTCATGGCTCACACTATTTGTAGTTCACATAATCAGCAAATCTTTGTACTGTGCCATCCTTATTCTTGGTTTTCTCCCTTGCCACCTTATTTGTGAAATTGTCCAATATGGAAGAAGAAAATGAAGTATTTCCATTTCTCTTTGGGAAAGGGAACTAACACCACATGCTAACAAAACAGAGTCATTTTCCTTTCATAGAGAGTCACTTTGTAGACTTGGTTGTTTAATGAGGCTCATTCCCATGCTCACATTGGCCAACACAAATTTAATACCTGAAACAGGACTCTATACATAGCAGGCACTTAATTCTTGGTAAATTAATTCAAAGAAACTTCAAGTTCAACCTTAGTCTTAATTTTTAACTTCTTTCTAAAAATCATATGAAGCTATCTTCACAGCCTTCTCTCAGAGCAAATGAATCTGCAGAATTTTACAAGATGCACAAATCAAAAAATGCAAGATGTATTCTGAAGTTCACTGTTAACAAAATCTTGAAATTTCATTTGTACACTTTTGAGGGGGAAAGCTCAAATAATATTGGCCTTTAATCCTTGCTAGGTTTTGAAGGATATGGCTTTGGGAAGGTAGGTAGGAAAGAAGAGCTTTTCGGGGTATGGACCCGATAGCTTGTTTAGCTGACCTTACTAGAATATGGTATAAAGGAAGCACAGGGGGTTTTGAATTCTCTAATGTGGGTTCGAGTCCTGCTGTTCTAGAAATAAGGGGATTTAAACCTCTATTATTTATCCTATCAAGATAATTCTTTTGTCAGACATATTTCTTAGATTTGTGGGGGAACGCATGATAGGGCGATTGGGATGGAGATATATCATAGGCAGAAGGCTATTTTTAAGTAAATTCTATAACAATTCAGGTTTATTCTCTGAGGAGAAAGAATTAATTACAAGAATTTGTGTGTTCAAAAAGGATGGCAACTTATTTCTACTTAACTGACCATAATAGGAAATAAAATACTAAACAAAGATTATACTTTGACTTCTTAGCTATGAAATTTTGCCATCAAACTTAAGTTAGATATCATAGAAAATTGCACCATAGCTGGTGTGGAAGACACAGCAGCAGCTGTATAGTATGATGAGGTTAATATTGATTGGAAATGCCAATTATTTCTACAATTTATTCTAAGCGATCCCAAGATTGCTGTTTGTCAGCAGGTGAACTTCCTGTCTATTGGGATGATTGGGTAATTAGATGTATCCTCTCTCAGCAGCAATGAAATGAAGCCCTGATGCCTTAGTGAGTTGTTTTTGTCTCCCTCCTGAATTATCTAAGGCTAAAGGGAACTTTCACTTGATCAGATAATTCCTGATTTTATATATTCTGGTAATTCTGGAAGTAGCTAATTATTTTAATCAGAAGTTTGATGGCAGGGGTAGGAGGGAATCAGAGAATGTCTCTCAGCAGAAAAAGGATCATTAGCTGTGTTTTATCCTCCCATAGTCTTAGTGCTTCAGAACTGACCATTTGAACTTTTTAGTATGAGTGTATAGGCAATGACTTTCTATCAGTAACAAAAATTAGCTTAAAGAGAGTTCAAACGTGTGAGAGGTGATCTCTCAGAAGTGAAGCCTCCTCAAAGGGTCATCAGTTCTTGTTAATGGTTCTGATCTTGTTGCTTTTGAGGGGCACATGTGTACCAACACTATGTGAAGACCCCTCAGAATGCAAGACCCCCTCCCCTAGCCTTCTCCCTCTCCTGCTCTTGGATAGCGTTAGCAGAAATTCCTGAGACATGGGAGCATCCTGTCTATCTCGTCCTCTAGCTGGCTGTATGACCTTGGGTAAAAGACTGCTGAAGCTGTGAGGCCCTGAAAAGGGGAACGCGCTAACATAATTTCTATACCTCTTTGTTCTCTCTGTTGCTGGGGTAGTTTTTACACAAATAGATTGTTTACCCGAGGCTCAGTCAATGAGCCGTCGGAAGGGGGTTAGGGTGGGCTGCTACATTGGGATCTATGAAGTCATGCTTGAACAAAAAGCACGCGGAACTCTCGGGGCAGCTGAGGCAGCATGGGGGTGCACTTTCTCGAGAAAGTCAATGAAGAGATCTCTCCTTTTGCAAATTTTTGCCAAGACTGGTTTTTTTAACTGAGTGTAAACAATGTGAGATCTCTGAGATGGACTGAGCGTAGCAATTTCTTAGACTGTTACAAACTCAAGGTTGGTTACACTAGCCTGAATAGGCCCAAGTTTCAAGTTCCTAGAAAACACATGATCTGTACTGTTACATTAGTACTAGGTAATGGCTAATGCTAAATAAGGATAAAATAGCGAGGATTGGTAGTATTATAATGAGATTCCTTGTTTCTGGGGTAGATTTTCGCGTTTTAGATTGTAAGGCTGAAATTCCTGTCCAATGGGAATTTACAGCCAGTGGTGGGTGGGTGTCTCTGCGTTAGGACTATATAACCTTTGTTCTGACTTTTGTGTCTGGCCTCGCTTCGCTCGGACTGCCAGACGACCGCTTCTCGCGAGAACGTAATAAATCTTTCACTTTATACCTAGAAAATCTCTGAGTGTTATTTTTGGGTAACTGTAGCACACAGACGTCTAAATATTTTCTTTTAAAAAATAAACTTTTTTTCAGCTGCCAAAATTGTTCAGATTAGCATTTTTAAGACCAAACTAAAACTTTTGTTGAAGGTTTGAAAGAAATGACACCACCTGATACAGAAACTAAATAGTAAATCCTGTCTCACAAAGAGTGCTTTTTAAAATTTATGTTGCCCAAATCTTTTGCCTTTTCTCTAGGGACTGTGCATTAGCTAAACTCTAGGAGGTATTTAATGTTGGTTGAATCTTAATTATTGAAACTCAATGCCTTTATGATGTACTTTATAAAGTAATGCCTTTAAAAATCTTAGAATAACCTAGAGGAAAGGGGGGGAGATAATGACTAAAATGAATTATTTGTCTTTCTGCTGTCCATATTTCTCCTCTACCTCACTACTGTTGAGAAGAGTTGACTATAATCATGATTCCTGAGGACTGTGATAAAACAGGCTACCCTCATCCTGAAAGAGAGATGATGGATGCAGTGCAAATTGAGATATATTTTTTGACATGGCTGGTGGGGAATTTTGCTTTGCTTAACTATACATGTATGACTAGGATTTTGTTTTTCTTCCTCAGTGTGTGGTTGGGAAAAGTGAGAAGGAGGTGGAAGAAAGAAGGCAGATTTTCATTGATTGAAAAAAATAAACATTTTTAAAGAGTTGGCTATTCTGTTAGAGTATAGAGTTACTAGAAGTTAGAATAAAAAAGTTAATTTACCTGGGCCTTAAGAGATTTTGGATGGGACACAGTAATATTACCCCACCAACCTAACACCTGATACAACCTTTGAACTGGGGTCCCCTCTGGCACAAAGAGCTCAACCACCTTGAGGAGCTGTTTCTCGCCTTAACAGCTCAGAGCCCCCACCCAGAATCCTGAGGAAAAAACCTCTGTACTGGCCAGCCCAATGTGCCTCTTTCAAATACACTGCCCATACCATTACAAAAGGCAAATGAAATAAAGGACAAATGGCTTACTCTGGAGCCAAATATAGATAATACTCAAATGAAAGCCTTGGAATCACCATCTTGGGGTTACTAATTCTCTTCTAGCTGAGGGGCCTCTCAACAATGAGAGATGGTGGATTTTGAGCTGGAAGGGGCCTTACCACCCTCCTGGTTTTAGAGGTGAGCAAAGCGAACCTGAACTAAAGAAGTTAGTAACTTGCCCAAGGTCTTAAAGCTAGTGTCGGGGCAGGATTTGAAACTCTGGTCTTGCGGGTCTAGGACTCTATCCATTATGCCCTGCTGCCTCATTCACCTCATTCCACATTTACACACACACACACACACACACACACACACACACACACACACACACATCCCATCTGCTTGTTCATATCTATAGTCTCACACAATTCCACACTGATCTCATCTTTCCCCCTGTATTTTCTTGTTTAATTAGACACAGCCAGATAAATGAACTTTACCTTCCAACTCTCCCCCCACCCAGCTCTTCAGATGATTCATTTAGCTTTGCACATAGTATTTAATGAATTAATGGAATCAAATGGTTCTCCTTGGAAATACACACACACACACACACACACACACACACACTCCTAAACTTCATACTTCAAGAGGTAATAATCTTGTTACATCAATTGCTCAGTCCACAATTAAGCATGTGGTAGGTGCTTAATTAATGCTGGTTTCCTAAACTGGAAATTGAGGGGATGCCCATCAATCGGGGAATGGTTGGACAAGTTGTGGTATATGAATGTAATGGAATATTATTGTGCTATAACAAATGATGAGCAAGTAGCCTTCAGAAAAACCTGGAAAGACTTGTACGGACTGATGCTGTGTGAAGTGAGCAGAACCAGGAGAACGTCGTACACAATAATAGCCATGTTGTTCAATGACTCTGATAAACTTAGTTCTTCTCAGTGATGCAAGGATCTAAGACATCTCCCAAAGTCTCATGATGGAAAATGCTATTTACATCCAGAGAAAGAACTATAGAATTTGAATGCAGATCGAAGTATACTATTTGCTCTTTTTTTTCCCTTCTGTTTTTTCTTTTGTTTCTTCTTTCTTGTGGTTCCTTTTATTGGTTCTAATTCTTTTTTACAACATGAGTAATGTGAAAATATGTTTAATAGGAATGTATATGTAGAGCCTATATCAGATTGCACCCCATCTTGGGGAGGAAGGAGGAGAGGGAGGGAGAAAAAATTTTAAACTCAAAAGCTTATGGAAGTGAATGTTGAAAACTAAAAATTAATTAATTTAAATAAATAAATAAGTAAATACTTATTTCCTTCCTTTCCCCCTCATGGGACTTTGTTCCAGGGCACTGAAACTTTGAGGGCACACAAAGCACTGTCTCAGTGTATGTTTCCTACCAGTTACATACCTAATCCTACTTCCCAGCAGCAACTGGTTCTCTGTCCTAGGATACTTTTCTTTCCAAATGAGCCCCCGAAACCCCAAAATTTCTGCTAATGTCTCTCTGCCTCTCTGAGCCTCAGACAACTATAAGATTATAAATTGCTGGGAGAAACTTCTCCACTGATGAAATCATAGAAATGGATGGATGTTTACAAAACATAAAATATCCATTAATAGAACAAGAAATAACCCAATTTCAGAGGAAGAAATTAAGCAAGACACAAATGAACTGAGAGAGAAAAAAAGAAACAAGCCCTAAGGACTAGATGAATGCACAAGCAAATTCTATCAAACATTCAAAGAACAATTCATTCCAATATTACACAAATTATTTGTAAAAAACAGCAAAAGAAGGGGTCCCACATAATTCCTTCTATGGTATAAATATGATCTTGATATCTGAATCAGGGAGAGTCAAACCGGAGAAAGAAAACTTTCTTCTGAAAGCATCCTCCATTCTTTTGTGGGCCTCACTTCTGACTCTTCAGCCTTCCTTCTCTACCATAGTGAATCTTGGGTACTTCCTGAATTCGCTCCTGCCACCAACAATTTTCAGCTTCCTTTTATGTCTTGTTTCCCCATTAGAATGTAAGCTCTAGAAGCCAGTGTCTTTTTGTTTCTGCTTGTATGTTTAACACGGTGGGGGAGGGGGGCATCTCCAGTCATCCTGATTCATATCTTGCCACTGGATCCAGATGGCTCTGGAGGTGTAAGTGAGGCTGTGCACAGCCCTCCCTCACTTAAATCCAATTGCAAGGCCCGGCCTCACCTTCCTGAAGTCATGGTCCTCTTCGAGAACAAAGCACAAACAACAACAATGTTTAGCATAGTTCCTGGCACACAGTAAATAAGCTGAATAAACGCTTGTTGACTTAACGATCACTGATGTGAAAATTTTAAATAATACATTAGCAAAGAGACCACAGCGTCACATCACAAAGCTTATACGATATGGCTACAGCCAGCATTATATGTAAGGCAGACACACTAGAGTCTTTTCCAGTAAGACCAACAGTGAAGCAAGCATGTCCACTGTGACCACTAGTAAAACTAAAGCAATGAGATAAAAAAAAAATTTGAGGGAATAAGCTTAGGCAAAGAAGGAAGAAAATTAACACTTTTTCTAAATAATATGATGGTGTAATCAGTCTGTTAATGAACATTTATTAAGAAGTTACCATGTGCCAGGCATTGTGCTAACTGCTAGGAATGTAAAGAAAGAAAAAAGACAGTCCCTGCCCTCAAGGAGCTCATAATCAAATGTGGAAAATGAAGAGGTGGCTGACCTAGATATTTCCCTTAAATGAAGGGGCTAACTAGGAAAAGATTTCTGTTCCCTACTCTCCACCTTCTGTAATCAGAGGGAAAGAGGGGCCCCACAGGCAGATGGTACTGCTGAGGTATGAGTTGCAGGGTTGATGTGATCTTGCAGAAGAAGGAGGTTTGTGGTATGTGTAATAAAGTGCAGAGAAGTGCAGCTGGGTGGGAAATGTGCCTAGAGAACCCAAAACAGTCAACTAAAAAATAACTGAAACAATAAATTCACCAAAGTTGAGGGTTAGAAAATAAATCCTTATCAATCTTCCAACATTTTAAAAAATATGCCCAATAAAGACCAGCATGAAGAGAAAGAGAAAATCATTTACAATACTTAGGGAACAGATAAAATATTTGCAAGCTACCAAGATCATCATTTCCCACCTGGTAACTGTCCTCAACTCCATTATTGTCCCTAGAAAGCCATC